GCCCGGAGGCGCCGGGGCTGCGGCGGGCGGGGGGGGGGGGTTGGTGCTCTTCCCTCAGGACGAGGGAACGGGAAGCGGGGCTCACCGGGGAGCGAGGGGGGTTCGGCGGGGAAGTTGGGGCGAGCCGTCCCGTTCGGCCCCCCCCGAGGAGAATCGCTCCGCTGTGACATCACGCGATTTCCATGGCAACCGCCTGGGACATCATCGGGGAGCTTTGTGACATCACAGCGAGGGGAGCAGCCGACCCTCCCGGGGGGTCCGGGCCAGTGGGGGGGCCGGGGGGGCAGGACCCCTGGCCCCGCTGCACCGGGACCAATCCCGGGGAGATGCTGGGGACAGCGGTGCCGTGCTAGGGGACCCCGGCTGGACCCCCCAGCGCTGTCCCGTGCCCCAGGGAGGGGACGGCCACACAGCCGCAGGCCCAGCCCTCGCCACCACCAGCACATGCCCCTCTCGGACGAGGCTCGGGCAGTGGAGAAGGTGCCAACGCTGCGTGTGCAGCCCCTGGCATTGGGGTGCGGACCCCCGGGCAGGGCCGAGCCCCCGCTGCCACCCCAGCGATGTTTTTTCCCACTGGGGGAAATGTCACCTTGCGGCTGTGGGGCCTCACACTCAGAGGCTCCTTTCTCTGGCTCCCGCCTCAGCTTTGTTTGGCGTATTAACCCAACGCGGCTGGATGGCTTGAGAATAAACCCCAAGCCTGCGGAGCAGTCCCGGTTTCCAGCCTTGATTCCCAGCCCTGGTGCTGCCGGCTGGAGGAAAAGCATCATCCAGGCTGGGAAACTGGGAGCCTGAGGTGGAGGCAGGCAATGAGGCTGCCGACAGGGTTGGATCCCACCAGGGGTAGCCTGTTAAGGTCAAGATCTACAGCTTTCATTTGTGGAGCTAGAAAAACAAAATGCAAATTGAAGAGCCTGTGGGCTAAAGCAAAACCTATTCTTAAAGTTTTTGTCTTGTTAAGCAAGGAAATAGAGTGCCAAATAGGCTTTGTTAAGTGGCAGTCTAATTAATAATTTAAAATCTTGTAGCTGTCTTTCATTAGAATTTATCTGTACATCAACCACAAAATCAGTCAAACACACTCATTTATAAGTTAATACCGTTCCTGAATAATTCAACAGGCAGTTAGAGGAGGCCTCCATCCTGCCGGCAGGTTCTCCCCTCCCCGCCTCACCGTGGCCAGGTGTCCCTGGGCAGAGGGTCCCTGTCCCCAGCATTTGCCCCAAGCGTGGTGCAGAGGGGACATGCCACATGTGAAACAAGGGGACAGCAGCTGCTGGGGCACAGGGCTGGGGCCGAGCCCTTCTGTGAGGCTCCGGGGCAGCTGGTTTTGTCAAGGATGGTGGCAAAGCAAGGCTGTGCTGGTGGGTGGCAGCGCAGGCTGATGGTGGCACTGCCACCGCATCCCATTGCCAGGGAGCAGGCTTGAGGCTGGGGCCACGGCAGTATTGAGGCAGCAGGAGCTGCGCCGTGGTTGGCACCTCCAAAGGTGGCAGCTCCGAGGGGACGGCTTCACACGCGGTGCCGCACGGGCGAAGTCGTTTGCAGCGGGATGGCGGCAGCGTGGCCGGGCAAGAGCTGCGATTCCTGGGGACATTTTGGGCCTCTTGCACTCCATGAGCTTCATCCGTGGAGTCACTGGTGGGATTTGGGGTGGATTCTGTGCAGTGGGATGTCATTGGTGGTGTGGCAGTGGGTGACAGTGCGGGGTGCAGCTCCAGCCCGGCTGAGGGTGTCACAGCCTTGTCAGAGGTGGCCGCAGGCAGCCGCAGGCTGGAGTGCAACATTGGCAATGCAGGAGAAGGAGATTTCCAGGTCAAGGATGACACCAAGGTCATGGGCAGCCACATCCCTGTCCCTTCCATCGCTCATCCCATCGACGGGGCGTCCAGCCTCCATCCCTCTCTGCCAGGGCAGCAGTCAGTGGGCAGGGTGCAGGCGCAGGCTGGACTGCGGTTCTTGCGCCGGGGAGCCAAGAGCCCAGAAACCTTTCTGCTTATAAAAGTTTAATTTCCTAAAGAGCTGATAGGAAGCCACAAGCTCTCTGTGCCCGGTGAAGCAAGGGAGGGGGTCAGGATGCGGCCCAGGCTGTCCCTGCGGTGGTGCTGGGGGGAGAGAGGCAGACAAGACCTGGAGTGGGAGCTGGGAAGCGAAGGAGCCGTCGCCGCTCAGTGACCTGCACTGATGGAGCCCGGCAGGGTCAGAGCTGTGGCCACGCTTGGCTGGATGTTATTCCCACCTTTTGCCTAAAATGCCACACCCGGCGCCCCGCAGTCCTGTCTGGGTGCTGGAGGCTGTGGGTGACACTCCAGGTGGCCTCCCTGAAAAACATCAGAGAACCTGCCAGGGAGATGTAAAAATATGCATTTTCCAGTGTGATTTCACACCCATCTTTCCCTGAAGCACCTGGCAGTGCTGGAGCCAGTGGCACAGGCCAGCAGCAAGGGCAGTGGGGCTCCATGGTTTGCAGGATGAGGCCACGAGTGGGATGTCATTGCCTTGGGGGCAGGCAGGAACTTGGGCTGCTGGAAACTGCTGGAGTGCTGATGGGTTTTGACAGCAAGATCCAAAATCTCGTTTGAAGGCAAAAGCCAGGCAGGGAAGTGTGGGAGCCTGGAGGGACGTGGTGGTGGCCAGGTGTGACAAGGGCTGTCTCCCATTGGGGTGTCCCCTGCTCCTGGCAGTGTCCCTGTGGGTGTGTAGAGGCAAAGCCCCCCTTGCAGAGAAGTGACCCAGGACACGGCCACTTCAGCCCCACATCACTGGGGCACCCCTGGGTGACACTGCTGCTCAGCTCCA